ATGAATAATCCCCAGGAAGAAAATTGACCCTCACATTGTTCTGATGTTTATAATATACAAAAGCTTGATTGGTTAGTTTCAACAACTCATGATAAATCAAAAGATCCCTGCCCTTCACTGATTGCATATAGCAGTTTCTTCTAAAACACCCAAAACAGAATACTTCTATTTGTCAATCACACAAACCAGTCCCACCAAATTGACTAGATTTCTCTTTATCAAATCAACTCCATTCAACACAAATGTAAATCCAACACATTCATCCAACATAAAAAAAAATAAAAAAAATAAAAAATTGAACAAAAAATTGAAAAACAAAAGTGTCAAATTACCGCGGCTGATTTGTTTTTTGAGATGAAGAAGACGATGAACCAGAGCGCAGATGAGATAAAGAACACGATGAACCAGAGCACAAATGGAAGAAGAAGAAGAAGACCGCTGCCGATTTTTTTTTTTAAACGCTTTCCCCAAAAGTTTTTAACCTAAAAGTTTTTTAATTGAAATTTTTGTTTTTAATTAGAGTAGGGACACCCGTCCAAAAATAAAGGATGGTCTTCCATAAGGAATGGACAGGCGTCCCTTAAGTATGGACGGTCGTCCATATGGAATGGATGCCCATCCATTCAGTATGGACAGTCATCCATACTTGAGGGACGCCCGTCCATAATTTATGGACGGGCGTCCAAATATTTTTTTAAATCTTTTTAAACCAAATTACGGACGCCCATCCACAATTTGTGGCTGGGCGTCCTAGATTTTTTTTAAATTTTATATTTTGAAAAAAGGACGGGCGTCCCTTATTTAATGGATGCCTATCCAAAATTAAGGGACGGGTGTCCATTAACATATGAACGCCTGTCCAATATGTATGGACGGCCATTCATAACCTATGAACGACCATCCCTAATTTTTTATAATATTTTTTATTTCATTTAGCAATGGACAGGTGTCCTCTAAATGAGGACGCCCGTCCGTAGTAAATAGACTCCCGTCCATATAACATGGACGGGAGTTCATATTAGTGAACGGCCGTCCATATGTTATGGACGGCTGTTCATTAGACAAAATTTAATAACGCTAAAATGCGTTGAATGGTCTGAATCAGTACACACGTAAGCCGGTACAAAATTTCAGTGTAAAAACATCGGTGTCTGTAGCATTGTTGTAAGCAGAAGAATCTAACTCATAAATGTAACAACAAAGCTACAGACACCGAATATTTTGCACCGAAAATGTGTACCGGCCTACGTGTAGCTAGGCGCCTGATTTTTCTATCAATTTTTTTCTAATGAACGGCTGTCCATCAAATATGAACGATCTTTCACTCACATGGACTGCCGTCCATATTTGATGGACGAGGGTCCATTTAAAGGACACCCGTCCATAAGTAAAATTGAATAAATTTTTTTTATAAAAATTAGGGACGGTCGTTCATCCGTTATGGACGGTCGTCCCTTCATTTTGGAATGGCACCTGCTAATAAGGGACGCCCGTCCTTAAAAACCAAAATATGAAAAAAAAAAATTGGGGACAGCCGTCCATAAATTTTGGACGGTCGTCCATACTTAAAAAAAAAAAAAAAAAAAAAAAAAAAAAAAAAAAAAAAAAACTTCTTCTTCGCTCTTCTTCTTCTTCGCTCTTCTTCTTCTTCTTCGCCAAGCCAAAAACCACAACAACATCTCTCACAACATAGCTCATTGATCTCCATGGATTCTTAACCCAATAATGCTTAGGAATAGCCGCTCTAATATTGATAATTTAAAAGGAGGAGGCGCAGCAGGGTCAAACTCACACCATCTTCTTCTCTCTAACTCATTTTTTTTTTTTTTTCATATTTTGGTTAAGGACGGACGTCCTTATTTGTGGACACCTGTCCAAAATGAAGGGACAGCCATCCCTAATTTTTATAAAAAAAATTATTCAATTTTACTTATGGACCCCCGTCCGTAGTAAATGGACCCCCGTCCATCAAACATGGATGAAAGTCTATGTGAGTGAACGGCCATCCATATTTGATAGATAGCCGTTTATTAGAAAAAATTGATAGAAAAATCAGGTACTTAGGTATATATAGATCGATGCATATTTTTGGTGTAAAATATTCGGTGTCCGTAGCTTTGTTGTAAATGTAATAATACATTCATATCATTTCTTTCTTTCTTTCTCTACAATAGTACATGATTTGAGGCCCAAATCATAGATCCCAAATCCATCCCCCAGATGACAATTTGGCGCATCCTGTTTGGAAGCTTTTTCTTGGCTGAGCATTGAATAATTGCTCTACATTTATTAGTAGCTTTCCTTTTTCATGCAATAATTCATTAAATGCTTGGAGTATTAGCATTCAATGTAATCTGCCAGAAGAGGAAGAAAGATAACAGTGGTGGAGTTCCCACATGTCAGATTTTTCTACACAATACGTGGCATAATTTTTTGGAAGAGAATTCGGAGATTTCAGTTCAGAGTTAATAGTTGGGTTTGACCCAGATTTTATTTGTTATATGGTTATATATTTGCTTTGGTATTTGCGATATAATTAGCTTGACTATAATTGTTGGGTTTATCAGTCCCCCCTGAGGTTCTAGGAACTTTCAAGCACGTCCTCAGAGGTATTGACTTTCCTCAATTACCTGACCTGAATGCTGTTTTCTAACGGCAAGACATTAAAATGAATGGGCAAAACAGTCTTTCCACCAATTAAAAGAATTTAAAACCAAAAAGTTTAATACGGTACAATTCATTGATTAAGATGTTTGAGATTTAAAAATATAAAAAAATTAAAATTAAACCCCACCTAGGAGAAACTCAAATCCATTGCTTTTAAATAAATCCAGTTCCTCTGCGGCGGCAAGACTCTCAATCTCGTACAAGTATAATTCGGTAGCGCACCACATCTCAATCTGGCAAAACCCATCACTAAGACATGCCCCACTCACAATCGACCCCAACATCGCAAAACTCATCATCCACACACACACACTTCATCGCCAATGAAAATCAGTAACTCCAAACTGTTGATAGTTGTCAGAAGGGAAGAAGAGAAACCACATCATTGACATCGGTTGGTGGTTGGCCATATGCTTCGATTTGGAGTGAAGGTGGTTTGGGGTGTTTGTGATTTTTCTGGAATTTTGTTTGGATATTTTTGAGGATTTGGTTGTGATTTCTTTGAAACTTTGTTTCCTTTTTTTTTCAACTCTTGGCTCAAAAGTAATGTTGATGAGAATTGGTGATGAAGAACTGCTGCGATTATGAATGAATTTTAATTTTAATGTAATTATTAGATGCATTTTTAAAGAGAATTTAAGATTGATTAAAGATAGATATACACGGGTTTGGGTTTTATATTAATTGAAGAATGTTAAATAAATAAATACAACTACTTTAAAATAAACATAGGCTCGAAATACTTTTATTGGTTTTTTTTTTTATTAAGAATTTTATTTGTTTAGATTTAAAGTTTTTGATTTATTTTAGAGATAAGATAGATTTACATATGAATTTGAGTTGGTATTAACTTTTGTAGATTAATCTATTAATAGATAATTTTTGAGATATATTTACTAGTTTTTGAAAGAAGTGTCCTACAGTAGATATAAAAATCATAAGGATCAAATAGATTTGGTCACTTTGGGCGTTAGAAAACGGCAGCTAAGGGAGGTAACTGAGGAAAGTTAATACCTCAGGGAGGGTGATTGATAATTTCTGAAACATCAGGGAGTTTCTTGTAAAATTCGTAAACCTCAGGGTAGGTATGTAATCAGTCACAAATATTTATAGAATTTGATCAGTTTTATTCCTTCCCTGTCTAATGTCACCAGCATTAGTGCTCTGCACGCAACACGATGTCGTACCTCGATACCAAAAAATCTTTAATTGTTAATTAAGACACAAGCAAAACTGCTGACTTTTTTAATTTGTTGGAAAATGAATGGGTTTTCCTTCGACATTAAATCCGTTTAGAGACTGAATTAATTGAATTATTAGTAATGTTTTCTGGGCAATCAATTCTTACAAATTTTTTTTAATTCTGATATAATAATTGTTTTAATATTATCACATCAATTCTATTGACTAAATCAAAGAAATGATATTTCTTTCATATGAAATGACTATTCTTTATTCTTTATAAAAGAATAGTCATTCTTTATAAAACATTGTTTCTTCAGAATAATTATCTCATTCTTTATAAAGGAATAAAAAACGACTCTTTGTTTTTAGTAGTATCCTAAGTGTCTTGAATATAGTGAGAGTTGATGTGATAGTATCAATCTATTAATATATTATGATTGTTTTTTCATAAAGAATGATCATTTATCTCTAATAGTGTCTTAAATGTAATGAGAGCTAGTGAGAGCTAACGTGACAGTGCCTAACATATTAGGGTCATAAGAAAAAGATATGATATTAGATTGTAAATATAGCAGTTTTCTTAAATTATTATTTATAGTTGTGGGGTGTTACGGACATTTCTTCTCCTGCAGTTGCAATGGCTATTAGGTATTAGCTATAGCTACACAGAAAAATCTCTGAATTCCAAGGTTGTATCATCATCTACCAGTTTTCCAATAAAAGACAAGAATAGATTATGCCCTATTAATAATTTCTTATTATTATAATATCATAATTTTACCAGTAGAGTGGCACAAGGGAGACGCCATGTTTATAGTCTTTATGGATCTTAAGAAAGGTTTAAAAAAAAATATAATGTAAATTTTGGGTCGTTTTTTCTATAATGAATAAGCAATAATAAGTATAATTAATTAAATAATTAATTAAATGAAGAGAATAGAGGAAGAAGGCAAAAACCGAGTGGAGGGGTATATTCGAGATAAAATGCAAGTATATTCAGTTGAAGCAAAGACCGTTAGCTGCTAACGAGAAGTAACCAAGAAGAAGAAACCAGAGAGGGATCCTGATTCCTGCCTCCCACCTTTGCCCCCCACAAACAATTTCTTCTCTCTTTTAAAAGTCCAACAAGAACCCAAGCTAGCCCTCTCTTCTCTTCTTCACCTAATCGCCTTTTCACTTTCATTCATACCAAAATATTTAGGCATTCTTTCTCTCTTTAGCGCTTTCTTTCGATTCATCGTTCAGGGATAAGAAGATAATCCGGTCAAGATGGATGATTTCTCAGCAACGTCAGGGGATTCGTCATCCACTTCTACGTCGTCTTCATTGTCAATATTTACGAATTACCCTCTCCTTTCAGCTCTTGTGTCCTTTGTTATCGCCCAATCTATCAAGTTCTTCACCTGCTGGTAATATTTCTTTCTCACTTGGTTTCTGTATTTTCATTTAATCTTGAATTTTGGATCTGGGTATGGTCTTTTTGCGTTTTTAAATGGAAGTTTACAAGATTTTTATTTCAATGTTGTGCATATGATGTTTTATTCTTTAATGAAAGAATTGTGGATTTTTTAGTCAATGAATTACGGAAGTTGTAAAAATAGCGTTGCCCAGACTTGAAAGGTTTATGAAATAGTTAATTTTTAGAAATCAAACTTAGTTCTTATTGATAACCCCAGTTCTTGAGGTCAACTCTACGATTTTTATCAACATTTAGCAATGTTTTACGGTCATATGTACCTTTAGAGTATCATTAATCCTTTTTTTTTTCTTTTTTTTTTTGGCTGCCTTGACCAACTTAATTCGTCTTGGGAATCATAAATGTGGATGATTTATAGGTTATCATTTGTCCTTTGCAAATATGACTTTTCTTTATTTTGCTGGTTCTTAATTTGTTGCCATCTAATTATTGAAAAGGTCACTTTTTTCTAGTGTTCAATGATATGCAGAAGAGAATCTCAGTAGAGAAATTTTTGATGTGTCATTATGCAAATGGTGAATTTCTTCAGTAAATTTTAATTCTGAGCATATCAAACATGGTAACTCATTGATATTGTTACCTCTTTGCTTGTGTTATGCTTCTGTTGGCATTGATGAGGTCCTGTCTTTTGTAATTTAGTCTACCCTGAGATGCTTAAGCTTTCCTAGATTTGCAGGTACAAGGAAAGACGATGGGATCTAAAGCAACTTATTGGATCTGGTGGAATGCCATCATCCCATTCTGCAACTGTTACTGCTCTTGCTTTGGCCATTGGGTTACAAGAAGGCTTTGGAGGGTCTTTGTTTGCTATTTCATTGATCTTAGCATGCATTGTATGTTCCCTTTCTCCATACCATTATAACTAGCATATACAAGTAAACTACTCTAACTGAGTGCTAATCCCAAGATAACAGGCTCTTCCAGGATTAAAATATTATTTATGTAAATTAAAACCTTATAACAAATTTTAAATTATGTTGCTAATATTTGAAAAGCACACAAACTAGATCAAGTTGTTATTTTAATTGCTTTCTTTATCTGAACAGTTGTTTGATTTATGTATTTCTAAATTTATAACATTTAGTATTTTGTAAAAGTTTTTTATTATGATGAATAACGATATTCAAAAGTTTTTCATGCTGATTATATTAGCAAGCCATTGTTAGATATTTAATGTGGAGATTACGGTGGCAGGTGATGTACGATGCAACTGGTGTAAGACTCCAGGCTGGGCGCCAGGCAGAGGTTTGATACTTTTGCTGCCTTTGGTTTTGGTCTTGCTCCCTGATTCTCTCCTCTTCTCGTGTTTTTTCTTGCTCTCTATCCATGTTCAAAAATTAATATGTCATAGAAGCTTTATTTGTTTGACTGCATGCTGTGGACTAGACACTATTCCATTGAGATGGATGAATATCTCTTTTGGAGTTTGTTTGAATTTTCATGTTTCTAAAATGGATTCTTTTCAGGTGTTAAATCAAATTGTATATGAACTTCCTTCTGAACATCCTCTGGCTGAAAGCAGACCATTGCGTGAACTTCTTGGTCATACCCCTCCTCAGGTTCGGTTTATTTCATTGAATTTTCCCCATAAATAATTGATGGAGTCACTCATATCTTTTACCATTGAAAGCCTCCAAATTTGTATGTTCTTCACATCAATTGTTTAAGTGTTTTTCACAATAATAACAGAAGACGATTTCGTAATGCCCATTCTTCTCTATTCTGTTATACCGAAGTCATTGATATTCATTCTTTGGATCTCATAATGAAAAATGGATCATTACAGTTTGCCTCAAGTAATACTATATCCATTGCAAGGAGTTGTGTTAATGATGCAATACCTCTTTTGCTGTACAAGTTCTATTGAGCTTCTGAACTTTGTAAAGAAAAAGCTATGTTTAAATTCCTATAGTCCCTATTAATTCTACCTTGTGATTTTGCGCAATGAAATGCTTTTTAGAAGATAGTTATTTAAAAGGTATTTATTACTTTTGGTTTATCTCCTTGTATTGCAGGTCATTGCCGGTGGGTTACTTGGTATTGTCACAGCAGTTATGGGCCATGTAATCATCTTCTTCAGTGGGCAATCTTAGGCTCAAGTGGATCGCATATATCATCATCATACACATCTCTAACACTTGATCATGCCACAGAACAGAACTCATCTGGCATATCTGTGACCATAATCATTTTCTGAATTTGAATGCGTAGACTTTGGTTTTAACTTACCATATTCTTCCGTTGAACTATCATCTCTTCATTCAAAACGGTAGCATTTCTGCAATGTAATTTGATTGATTGATTGAATCATTAGTTGTGAATTGTGATATAATGGAAATGTCTGCTAAATATCAGCCATGAAGTTGGCAAAAATATTTGCATCTAACATGCTAAGTTTGATCTATATACAATTGTTGCATTTGTGTTTTTACCTTGTGCTAAATTGTGCCTGTCTCACTGCTATTATGTTTCAAAAATATTTTAAACAATGGAAGTAAACCTATGGCAATAAATTACAAGCTGTGATTCGGTAGTCATAATTGGCTGCCAAAGAAGGGAAAAAGTCTGACCTGTTTGATAATTTGCAAATTGTGGTAAATAAAGAGTTTGCCAGCAGAAAAGACGACATATTGATGCTTCTGGGCCAACTTTCTGGTTCTTCTTGGAGCATCAAATGAAACTAGAATGGGTGAACCTGACTTGGTTTTTGTTTTTCATCATAGAAACTTTTCCCAGTTCAAGATTTGTAGTTTTTTATTGCACGAAACAGAAGATTGGGAAAGGTGAAAACAAAACACAAGATTGGTGCCATACAAAATTTCTGTCACACGACTGTTCCTATCCTAATATTTGAAATACATGAACTTACATACAGATTCCCTAAAAATTATGTATCAATATGGGTAACTTTATTATCAAAATCTTAATTGCAAAATATGTGTAGCGTTGACAAGACTACTTCCAATCCAGAAGAAGAATCATACTACAGGTCTTCAAAGAATCAAAGTGTGGTCTCTTCTACATTGACTGGCCTTAACCCTAATGCAGCAGAAAAAGCCTTCTCCATCGCCAAACTGGGGTCACCATTAACACCTAACTTTGCACGCCATGCAATGTGATCATCAGGTCTCACTAAGAGGGCCCCTTTGTCAGTCATCTGACAGATATTCCACCATGATGGTGAATCTGATGATCTCTTAACCTCCACAACATCTAAGTAGTTCTCCCAAGGTGCCAGTGCTGCCTTACTTCTGGCTTCAACTTTGTTCACAGCGTTAGCAGGCCACATTACACACACCCTGGTAGAAACTTTTAAATCTTCAGCCACCTTGAATGCAGCACGAGCAAGATGGTAGGACTCCTCTATTGGTGCTATTATGAGGAGAAATTCAACCTTATCTCCAGCCACAAGATCCAGTGTAGATATTGTCTCCTACAACGACACATAATATGAGTTAAAACAAAATTCAACTGCAATTTCACATTAAAAAAAAAAATAATTCCAGTTAATTAATTGCCATGTGATAAACCGGAAGAGGGAGCTCCTCATTTACAGATCCACAGCTCCACAGCATAAGCAAAAACAACGCCAGCATAATACAAGGACTAAGCAATAACTTCAGTTTAGGCTATCTTCGCACCTGCTGTGGTAAATAACTAAAGTCAAAACAGAAAAAAACTAATAACTAATTACATACCCAACTTGACGAAGTTGACACCCTGACATTCATATGCGGCAGCCTTGACCCTGGATCTGCAGAAGGAATGTAGTCCCTCCGACGACCAGTAGGTGCTTCTGGAGCAGTCACCAGAGGTTCAGTGTCAGGAACAAGAGCTCCTTCAAAGTACCTAACAACAGTAAATTGGATTATAACAGGAATTCAGAAACTCCAACATTGAACATGACTTGACTAAAAAAAGTAGCTGAAAATTAATTTTAATTGCTATTGGAATGGTAACAAAAAGCACAGAATAGTCAGGTTAGAGGACATCATATGAAACAATTGCAACTTCAAGTTGCTACACAGATATATATGTTTTCTAAATTTGATTTGAAGTTTGAAAATTTTTGAGACTAAAATAGCTGCAACATATCTAGAAATGATCATTCTTGATGTGAAGGAGATACCTGAAACCAAGATCCTCGGCAGGAAACTGAAGTTGAAGGCTCTTTCCTTCTTCAAATATATGCCTTAACTTAGCTAGCCTTGAAGATCCAAGTGGGTTGCTTTCATTCAGAAGAGATTCTGAGAGCTGGGCACGACCTACCTTAAAGATTCCATCCAGCATTGCCCTCTGTAGTACAGATGGTAAAAAAGAACCAACCGCTTTATTAATTACTTGATGCACTGCAAAAGCAACAAAAGGGAAAACATTAATATTTCACTAACAAGCATGCACATGAAAACATCTAAATTAGAGGATAGATCAATGATTGATAAGCATAACCAAGCAGAGAGAGGAAAAAAGATAGAAGAAAAAAGAAGAAGCAAGGTTTGAAGCAATAGCTGCGTTTGTTTACCAGAGTTTGCAATTGTTGGATCAAGACCAAGGGCAGAAGGAACTGCCATGGCTGCTTTGAAATTCTCGACACTAAGTGCAGTATTGAAGTTGGCAATCTGACAACAGTATACCATAAAGGTCAAATATCCAGCTAATGTCAGGATAAAATTATGATAGGAACAAGGTAGAAAAAGTAAAACCAATACCGGCTTACGTTCTGTTTCATAAGTATGAAGTAATGAAAGTGGTGAAATACCCTGTAGTACAGAAGCTACTTTCCAGGCAAGATTATGAGCATCCTGAATGCCAGTATTCATTCCTGCATAAATAACATAATATAGTTAAGCAAATGTCTGTACAAAGTCCCATTAATGGAATACATAAAGCAGCACTTGAACCTTTATTTCAACACACACCAAGGAGCTTTCTATGCTAAACACCAGAATAGCATGGTAATTCTGGGTGTCCAACCCTATATCTTTTTTCGTATCTATAATTTCTTCTTAATAAACCAACAGTTTAGAGAATGTAGGGACTTGACACACTATCAGTTAGGTAATGAATTTAGGGGATTTTTATATCTGCAAAAACAGTAGCTACTAACCAAAACCACCAGCAGGAGGGAACCGATGAGCAGCATCACCAGCAAGTATTATTCGATTGTCACAGCACACAAACTTCTGAGCAACTTCAGCATGCATCACCCATGGCTTTACATCGATCACATTGACATCTGAAAGCTCTTGACCAGCCAACTTGAATATCAACTGCTTGCATATCTACAAGTTGTATCCTTCAAAGAAACTGTTACCAACGATGGGGAAAATGCACGCATTCATATTATGAATCTTACAACTACATCTGACAATTGCCAAGCATGTTTTTCACATATTTTAAATGGTTTTGTAACATTTGTCATCCTCCAAACTTGACCACAAAAAGGGTACAAGCAAAGATATCAATCAAAATACTGCGTCTTAAAAGCCCATCAGTATCGAATGAAGATTACCTCAGGGCTGAAATCTTCAAGATTTTGCTGAGGTGGATAGAAAGGTATCTGCAGGATGATGAGCAATAATTTACTGCATGTATATGATGCACTTTAAAGTAGTATCAAATTGGCACAAATTTGATCCAAACAATTTCTAAACCTCTGCAATACCTGCAAGACAAATTCTCCTTGCTTCAGATCATGAGCTACAAGGACTCCAATAGCTTCAGTGTTGAAAATGAAAAATAGCATTCCAGGTCGCTCATTGAGCAGGTACTCTCCAAGGTCTTTACTCAAAAAATGAACACTGACAAGCTTTTGCAAATCTTTTTTGCCTTTTAGATCTATTCCTATAAGCTTCCTTATAGTACTTCCTGCACCATCTGTGCCGACAAGGATATTACACTTAATATTTCTCTGCTTAAGTTTTCCTTCCTCTAGAAATGAAGCAGTCACATCTATACAGTGGTCAGTTGCATTGATGGATACACACTCATGCCCCATTAATATTCTCCTTCCCTGGAGAAAACTATGCCGTTCTGAAGCTTCTGAGGTACAAACTTTAAAGTTGATATTTTCCAGCTGCTTAAGTAGCAATCTAATTAATTTGTACTGTGAAAAGTGTGCAACAGAGACAGGGCTCACAACTTTCTCAAAATCTGGCAAGGAATAACAACAGTATAAATTTATAAATATCAAAATCAGAAATTCCCCCGGATTAAGAAAAGTATGTTCATATTTTCTTGTTGCAACATATAATTATGGGACGTATAAAATACTAAGCTACATCATAATTCATACGTTCATAACATACAAACAATTTCATGATGTGATATATACACCTTATGATCTAGTTTTGGTAATCTTACAAGGCCAGTAGTAGAACTGAAAAGCCACATTCTAAGTGAAAATATAAAAGTTGTTGAGATGAGTCACACCTTGAGGTTTCATGTGATCTACTGACCCGAGAATCGAACCCGTGAGTGATGTACAATATATGAACTTTCTCCATAAATCTACCGGCGGTTGTGATTTTTCAATCTCCTCGGCCAAGCCATCCACCTTTCGAAACACCTAAAAACAACCACATCACAATGAAAATTAAATTCTTCTAAAACAACCGAAAGCAAATATCTTCGGTATAAGAAAATCAACCTCCATAGACCGATTATTGATAAAATGTGCCTGCGGATGCTTAGAGAACGATTTGTTTTTCTCCAAAACCGAGCATTTTATCCCTACAAAATATCATTTGAAGCAATTACATTTCAAACACTAGCTCCATTTTTGCCCCTTTGTACAAAGTAAAAATAACGAACTTTAAGTCTCCAACGATCAATTTGCTCTCTTTAACAAAGCACGACTTAAAAGAAAAAAAAAATTACCTTTAAAATTTCATCCTTCGAGTAAAACTTAAAAGAACAATGAAGTTTCCATAAAAATAAAATAAAATAAAAATCATAGAACACGATCAATGGCTATTTATAGCATTACAACAAACATTCTCACCCAAAAAAAAAAAAAAATTCAAATTTTTCTTCTTTTCTTCTTCCTCCTCACAAACTTCCTACGCAACCAAACAGCAAAACACGATTTTGTGGAAAGGGGAAGCAAATGAATGAAAAAAATACCTAATTTAGTGAGAAGCATAGAGAGAACAAGACCAACGGGTCCTGCACCAACGATCAAAACCGGAAGTACGGCATCGTTGGTGCTGAAAGTTTTGGAGTTCGACAAAGCTCTGGTTTGAATGTATCCAAATGGGTATGTTTTGGTTTTGAACAGGCAGGTAAACCTCCTCATAAACCCTGAAACTCCCATCAAACAAACCCAGAAATTTAAACAAACAATAAACATTGAAAGCAAGCGAAGCAGAATATATGTTGCATGGGCAGTTGGTTTTGTCGGTTTGAGTCTTGGGTTTTACTTGAGCTTGGCCCAAGCAATGTTCTGCGTTTGACAACTAATAACCCAGAATTTGCCCACTTGCAACACTATGACTGGATATGTTTGGCCCAAAGTGGCTAAATAGTTAAAGGTCCGTTTGGTTTGTTATTTTGGGTAGGATTTTAAAAATAGTATTGGGTAGTTGAATAGGATGATTATTACGAGGTAAAATTTAAAAATTAACAAAAAAACATTTAGGTTTGCTAATTTAACTAAACACCCCAATATATAAAAATTTTGTAAAATGACAAAAACACTCCACCCACCCACAGTGCCAGATTCAGGCCACCACCGTCAGAATTTGGTGTTATGACATAGACCAGTCTAATCTGATCGGTCGTGCGTCGATCTGGCCGTCAATTGTCGCAAAAGGCCAGATCTGGCAGTCAACGACGGCCAGATTGGAGAATTACCGGCCAGTTTCGGTCGTTTGTATGCTGTTGTGACAGATTCTGGTTACCATCAACGGTGGTTGCCAAAATCTGGCAACTATTGGTGGGTGGGGGTGTTTTTGTTAATTTTTAAATTTTTTTCTGAGGGTATTTAATTAAATTAATAAACTTAAGGGGTCTAAAAGTAATTGAATAAAATATAATAGTATTTCATAAATAATGAAACAAACAATTATTTTGAGAATAGGATTGGGAATAGGGTATGAAATAATAAACCAAACGGACCCTAAAACATCAAACTAATATATATATATAACTTATTTAATATAATAATACTATTCTTCCTAAAACTTATTCCAAATTTCATATCTTAAATAATGTATTATCATATGCGACGATGACACATTAAATGATACAACATTATGACAATAGTTGGTTACGCCAAGTAGGGCAAGAGCAGGTTTGGGGAATCATAGAGCCTTATGCTAATAAAAAAGTGACGTGTCATCATATATTGCATTAACATATAAATAAAGCGATGATATATTGAATGATATGGCATATGCCCATATAGTAATACATGACTTGGGATATGAAATTTTTTATAAGTATTTGAGATGAATAATATTACTCTTTTTTATAATATATCGGTTTTACATATGACACTTTATAAATAAAATCTTATTAGATAATCGTTTTGAGAGTTATCATAATGCCCCCAATCGCCAAACAATAGATGGATCACAACAATTTAGATGATAGTCATGTTGACATATAAATAAAATGATGATGCATTAAATGATATGTCAACAATACATATGATAGGATGAAAATGCCCTCGTATATAAATAAACCTAAACATTCACTCATCTTCTTTAAATCCGTCCTAACCATTATCATTCCCTTCACTGAAAACCTTGAAAACCCAACCCATAAACTGATTTTGTTACTTGATTTGGTCTTAGATTTCAATTGGTTTGAATTACATTTCCGTTGATTTTGGGTTTTAGATTTCGGGTTTTTGATGGAGTCAATGGTTTTGAATGTGAGATGGGGTTGATTGTCATTTAATGATGCAAATTTGGGTGATTTTTATGGTTCTCAAGGTGGAAAATGATGATGGGGACCTGCATTTTTTGGCCGACATGGGGTTTCAGCCTATTCAAATGACCTTATCGGCCAGAAATTGTAGGTCATTTGGAGAATAAGCGTGTTTTGGCTGAAACCCTAGGATTCGACCATATTTGGACATGTAAGATTATGTCCAAATGGCTAAATCCCAACGATCAACATGATTCAATCATATTTTGTCACTTTAGTGTTGAAGGGTGAAGTTGGCCGAATACGTGGTGCTGGCCAAAACCCGTCTTTAGCCTCCAACCGATTTTTCATCCGAATTCTTTGATATTGATCAATACTCATAGCCAGATTTGTATAAACCATCAATTTCAACATCTTAATTACCTGTATAAGCTAAAACAACCATGAAAACAACAACTCATCGCAAAAATAGTTTATTAAACATGTTTGATGTACATATACAACATATTCAATGATTTCTTATTTGGAACAACATTCAAATTGGAAAACTTATCAAATGCTCTCTTCTAAACCCTTTAATAACCCAATGCACTGATCAAATCCGTCAAAAAATAACTCATTCATATCATATAAACAAGTTTCACGTGAGATTTTAGAATTAAAACGAGAGTTTTTCTTTGAAGTTTAGGGATTTGTCAATAGAGGTAATTTCGTCCAATTTTTTTATATAAAATAGGATTACACACTATTTCTTGTGACATTTTTTTAAAATCTTAGGGCTTAAAATAGTGTAATAGGCTAATAGCGTTATTGAATTTCTCTTCTAATAACATATTTTACATTAAAGTAAATTATAATTAAAAAAATGCCGCGTGTCATGTATTCATGTTCTCTTATTTATTGTATTAAAAGAAGGGGACAGCAGTCCTCTACAATGTGTGGGGACCCACATAGTCCTACAGATTCACGGATCTGCTGACATAATTTGATAGGAACGTGGTGGTCCCTATCTGCTGACATGGCAACATGTGATTTAACGGTATTATTAGTAACCCTAAGTCTGGTCACATTAGATTATAATACTCACTGTCACTGTCGAACACTCTCGCCTGGACCCACTCTTTGCCCCCCATTTATGCCCACGTGATAACTTCAGAACCTTGCATCACCATCACCATCCATTTACAAACTTGACTCCATTATATCTGCCCCATCTGACACCAAACCCATCTCCCACCGTCCACGTGTCCCCCATTCCAACACTACGCCAGTTACCGTTAAAAGGACAACCGTATTTCAAAAACAACTCTTTTTTTTTTTTCTTTCTCCAATGATCGGTACTCTGTTCAGTGCTCATAATAACAATTATTTTATTTGATTTTGGACGTTACTGAAACTCTTTCCTAGATTCCAGTTTGAGTGAGAGTTAGTTTAATCTGCAATAAAGTTTTATTCTTTCTATGTAAATGGGTTATTTATGCGATTTTTTTTTACAACTTCTGCTACTGCTATGCATGTTGGCTGGTCCATGTTTCAACAATGCATAGTTATTTTTAGGATTTTATTGTACAATGGATCTGAAGCTTTTTTTGTTAGTTCTGTAGATCTCAAAAATACATGGTTTTGAGGTGTTATTCTCTGTAGGTTTTCTTTTATGCTGCAGAACCCTTCTGCTTCTGGCTTTTTTGTTGTTGAGCCTGCATTTCTGCTCACTCTTTTTGGTGGGTCTAAACTTTCATGAACCTTTCATTAGTAATTGATTAGTCTTTGATTAGAGTCAGTAAAACAGTGATGCAAATCAACATGACTGCATGTGTTTAGCATTTAGCTTTGTGTTTGGTTGTTTTCATCTTCTTGATTGTTGTTTGGGTTTTTTCAGCTCTGGGGATTAGTTAATCTCTCTGTGGATAAATTCCAAATGGGTCCCTTGCTGCAGTGAGAGATAACTTCAGATATTTTGGGGTTAGTGCTGTGCATAAATTTTTTCTGTTTGATCAAAACTTATTTGACTATTTGTGTATTAATTACTTGTAGAGGAATCCTATCTGGTGGGTGGAGAAGATTTAATCAAGTGTCCTATGCGTTTGATCATATGTGTGATAGAAAATTATTTGACTTGTGTGGTTAGGCTTCAAACTAATTTCCTTTTGTAGTTAGTTCTTAATAGCTAGCTGCAAGTGTTTATCTCTGTGGGGGCATGAATCTGGGACCTAATAATTAATAACCAAGTCCTGGATTTATTTTTGGACCCACTTAGGAATACTGCAGTTAATACAAACTTAGATTTGATCAAGATAACTAGGATCTGGACCATGTTTGATTTGATCAGGATTAACTTTGTTTGATGCAGTAGAGGGGGAAAGATTCTTGAACTTAGCTGAGTGATAGTTGTTTCTGTACTCGCTCTTTTGTGTGTGTGTGAGAGAGAGAGAGAGAGAGAGAGAGAGAGAGAAAGTTAAAGCTTTGTGGAGAGAAAATGAGATCTATAGATGATAAGGGGTGCTACAACCATGGACCGATTCAAGAGATTTCAAGTAGCAGTGCTATTAGTTTTGAGTTTCATAAAGGAAATGGAGCTAACCGCAGTAGTTCTCATCATCGAACAGCCTTAGGCAAACCAACACCATCAAAATGGGATGATGCACAGAAATGGCTAGTGGGGTTGTCAAGAGGGGGAGAGAAAAACCAATCCAAATCCAAGCCACGCAACTCAAATGCTGATGACAGGAGACTAATAGCTCCTGTTCCACAAAAGGAACAAGACTACTCGAGTGATGAAGATGAAGGGGAAGAAAAACGAAATGGATGCTTAGTTGCAGTGGCGACTCAATATGAAGCGGAAACAAAGAACGTAGACTGTGATGAATCAGTATGGCGAATCAATAAGCCCGTGGAAAATTCAACTTCAACTATTAGATCAATATGTGTGAGAGACATGGGGACTGAAATGACACCTATTGCAAGCCTGGAGCCTTCAAGAACAGCTACACCTATTAGAGCTACAACTCCTGCGGTGAGGAGCCCCATAGCTTCAGGATCCTCAACTCCAGTTAGGTTTCAACACGGAGTGCAGAGTACTGAGGGGTATCAGACTGGTCTAACATCAACAGAGAACAGAGGTGAGGCCAACTCTGCTGGCAGGGGGACTGATGCCACCAGACGGTGTGGAGATGAATATGACCCTTGCAGAATAGCTGAGAACAATAATTCTGATCAAGTTACAAAGCTGAACAATTTAGACGCCCAGGCAGTGGCTTGGGATGAGGCAGAACGTGCTAAGTACATGGCAAGGTGATACACTAATATAAATTTCTCTGGCTACTACTGAATGTGACTAATTAAACAACTGCTTAGAGTTCTTTTTACTCAACCACCCAAAATTAAATATGTAACAGTTTTGAGTATCTTCTACTCGTGTTAAGATTTTGGGAGGCGGGGAGTGAGTTTCCCCAGACTGTTCATGGGCCAAAATAGGCCTTCGAACTAATTGAAAGAACTGCTAATATGATGTACTTGCAATCTTTTGTTGTAGGTATAAGCGGGAAGAGGTGAACATACAAGCATGGGAAAATCATCAAAAGAGGAAAGCCGAAATGGAAATGAAGAAAATGGAGGTATTCTTTTCTGCACTCGTATGCAAACAGACTTCATTATTGTATACATGGATATTGGCATAGAGATTCCTCTACTTACACTACTAGTCTTTAGCGTGAGCAAATATTTAAAATAATGTTGCAGACCTTCTTCACCATCTAGCTTGTAACATAAGCATGCTACTGACAATTTTGCACTTTCCAATTATGCAAGAAAATGTCTCAATTTTATTATTTGGATGCCTCTTCAAAGGAACCGAATATACTTTTATTCTTCTTGTCTAGTTCACAGTGTGAAGTCTTTTTCAAATAAGCAGAAAAAGAAAAGTACTGCAGAGCTAAATGAAACAGCTTGGAGTGTTCTTTTCTAATTTTGTTTGCACTCTTATACCAAAAGTAAAGAATCAGAAAAAAAAAACCAGCATTACAAATCTAGAATAAAGTGTTTTGTTGGCTCAGTCAGCTATACAAAGGATTCTCATTGAAGCACAAACATTTTCTTGCTGCCCTTGAGTTGTCTTATATCCACAAATTGTGGATGAAATTGGAAATAAATGAACTGGGAGTCACAAGTCAAAATGCAGAGCCATAAATAGGCAGCAACTTCCTCTTACCTCATTGTGTTATTGACATAGAAATTGCATTATTAATCAAATTCAAAAGCCCTTTTTTTTTTATTTGAAAGGATTTTCCGCACCAAATTATAGATTTCTGAATACTTTGTTCGACTTCTAGGTGAAGGCGGAGAGATTGAAAGCACGGGCACAAGAGAGGGTGGCAAACAAACTTGCGGCTACCAGGAGAATAGCGGAGGAAAAGCGTGCGAATGCAGAAGCCAAATGAATGAGAAAGCTGTAGGACCTCTGAGAATGCAGACTACATAAGGAGAACTGGTCATCTGCCCTATCATTTTCTTTCAAGTTGCCTTCCCTTTGTTGGTAGCAACTCTGCAATAGCCAATAATTGTTGTTCCACGACTACCTTTTTTTTTTTTTGTCATTTTTGTGAGTATATGAACCTGAAGATCATGAGATATGATAAACACTTCATGGGGTTAATTACCTGGAATAAGGATAACATACCCCATTTTGAGTGAGGCATTATCATGATACTAACTTGTTCTCAATTATCAGGTAAGCGAAAGCGAGTTAAATGTTCCTGGGTCCATGAATATCCTACAAATCTAATGAATCGGGTAAGACACAATTATGTATTAAGGTAGGTGACCTCAAGGTTTGAACTAGAGGGGGAACAAATGGGCCAGGGAAGCAGGTCAACCCTAACCCGACCCACATTAGAGAGGGTTCAACCTGGAGGTTGAACCAACCCGTATGCAACCCCCGGTGGGCTGGGTTACTATATGGCAACCCGCCAACCCGGCAGGTTGCTATTTGTTTACAATAGCCAACACGCCCCCCAAAAAAAAAAAAAAAAAAAAAAAAAAATTAATTATTTTTTTCAAGTTTCCCTATTTTTTTAATTAAACTATTATGATTGAACTCTACAGATAATTTTACACAATAATATTAAACTAGACTTCTAAATCATAAATATAAAAGTATAAACTTCGTAATATTTGACACATTGTTATTATTATTTTTTATGGTACGTAAATATAAAAAACTTAAAGACTGAAGTCTTATTCTTAAATTTCCATGTCTTGTATAAAGTATAATTCATTCTTATGCTAAAGTTTCATCAATTGAATGAACAAATCTAATTTTTCTTATATTACAATTTTATTGTATTAAAATTGAATTAATATTTGAAATGTTAATAAAAAAAAATATTAATTGAATTATTGATATTTGAAAAGTTAACTAAAAACAATTTAAACAATTACATTTATTCATTTATAAATCGTTAATTATTTATTTGAAAAGTTAAGTAAATAAAACAAAATAAAAAAAATAAAAAAAGGGGGTTAACCCGGCCGGGCCCGACCCGCAGCCTAACCCGACGGGTTAGGGTTGGCAGGCCGGGTTGGGCCAACCATTCCCCCAAAAATGGCGGGTGGGTTAAGACCAACCCACCAAAAGCAGTAACCCACCGCGGACCGGGTCGGGTGGGTTACTTTTCCAACTCTAGTTTGAACCCAAGAAGTTGGATTCTTGCTACTCATGGTATTTTTTTTAATTTTATTATTATTATTATTTTTGGTAACTAGGTATCGGGCCAGCTTATGCGCATTTTAACTAATCCTCTAAGTCCATTGAATACCCCACAAATCTAATGAACCGGGTAAAGCATAATTATGCATTGAAGTAGGTGACTCCAAGGTTTGAACCCAATAAGTCAAGAAAGGGAGCACACCTCTTTGACCACCAAGCCAACCCCTTGTGGTTACTCATGGTGTTTATATGGTTTATAATATTTCCTTTCACTAAAGACCTAATGAACTCACATTATAAAGAAAAAATATGCATTTGCATCATAATATTTTTTCAGAAGCGAATATAAGTAGATATTGTTCGCTCTAGGCTAAAACCTTATAAACCTAGAAATTCAAAAGGCAATTAGAATCTAAAAGGCGTCGAGAGGACCCGGAACTTATAAATTGAATTTCAGATTCTGTTACTAATGTGATGAGGCTTATATAAATAGTCTTCACCATGCTTTTGAATGTTATTGAAGTTTTTGTTATTGCCATTATCTTCCAAATATAAAAAAAGCTTGTTCACATATACTATTTATTTGAAGTTTAAATAAATTTACTTGAGATTACAGGAAAAAGAAAAATTAGAGAAAGTAACTTAGATACATGTTAAACCAAACTTTATTTAATCTTGAGAAAATATAAAAATATAGAATTTATTTATTCTAATATTAACATTATGTTGTCTCTATATGTAAAGATATTGTATATTAATTAATTTAAGTAAAACCGGGGCCAAATCGTAATTCCAGGCGACTGTGAGGACTGAGGGGCCAATTTTTTTTTTCCAGACTATAAGGGGGCCTTATGATAATTGCCATATCTGATAATTTAAAAAAATAAAGTAAAATCGAGACCTATCAAATAGTTCGTGATCACAAACGCGAGTTACGCGACCTAAAACACTTTCTCCTCTCTAATTTTCTTAAAGCTGCGGTCGCCGCTTTCTCTGTCTCTCTCTAATATCTCTGTGTCTGATTTGGTAAGCAACATCGAACGTTCTCTTTGTATGAGAGATCAAGATTTTATGTCTTTCAGTTTTTTCAATTTCTAGGGCTTTTACTCTTCGTTTCGCTCTTCGATTTCTAGGGTTTTCACTTTCGATTTCGCATTATATAGCCGAATTTCGAGTGAGCACCGCTGAAATTGAGTGTTTTCGATTGATTTGTATTTCTTCTTTGTATTGATTCCATGTTTGATTTCGTATTATCTTTAGATCTGAAATTCATTTGGATTAGGGTTTGAATTTGTGTTCTTCTAAATGTTTGAAAAAGAAAAAAAATTGAATTGATCGTATACTAGGATCAGGGTTTTACTAGGAAGAATTAAGGGGATTCGAATTGCTATTAGTGCTTTTACTCAAGTATATATGGCGGCTGGGAGACATGGGGGTTACCGTGACAACGAATTCAGAGACCGAGAGGCTGATTTTGAAGTGTCAAGGCGTGAATATGCTTATTCAAAGGAGGAATATGACTATGAGCGGATTAGGAGTAGTAAACATGAAAACAACGATCGGGGTCGAGTTCGTTATATGAGTGACAGGGTTAGACAAAAGGATATCAAGGAGAGGGAAGTGATCACAAATGGTGGCTATCGCTCCTCATCTAGTAGGAGTGATTCAGGTAGTAGTGGTGGTGGTCGTAATAGTCGTGGTCCTAAGCCAAAGGAGTTTTCAGTTAAGGCTATTGATAGGGAGCCTGGTGAATTGTCAAGTGAAAGTGGGTCTGAGGATGCAACTGAAATTGAGTCCATATCAAAAGGTAAGGATAGTGAAGTTTCCAAGGTGGTAGAGAATGGGATTCAATCTCCTTTGGAGAGAAAAAGGAAATTTTCTCCCATAGTGTGGGACAGAGATGATAATAATGTAGGTAAAAGTAGGAATTCACCTGTTGTGACGGCTCTTCCCCCTCCACCACCTTTACCCAAGACATATCGCAAATCACCTAATGTAGTTCCAGAGGGAGGTGTACATGTATCTCCCCCGAAGAGTAGGAAAAACCAGAATTTGCAGTCTGTTTCACCAATCAACCCTCCTGTGGTATCTAGGTCAGTTGAATACAGTACTTCTGAGTCTCCAGTTGGGTTGTCTTCTTCACCATCAAAGGAGCAACAATGGGATAATGTTCAGGAATTTGAGCATTTAGATGATGAAGACTATGTACCAACCCGGAATATATCCTCTTCGAGATGGGCTGCTGGAAACAGTTCTCCTGTTGATGAAGGTGAAATTTTAGAAGATGAAGAAGTTCCTAAAAGGAGGAAAAAAATGCCTCTTTCAGAGTCTTTGCAAACCAGATTAAGGAACAAATCCATTAGTCCTGAGCTTGTGGAGCTTAAGAGAACAGGGTCTGAAAGGGCTAGATCCAGGTCATCTGAATCTGATGAACAAGGCAGCCGTGCTAGGTCTTTGAGTGGGGATGGTTATCATGGTAATGATTCAGAGAAGGATGATTACATGGAGATTGATGAGGAACGAAACCATGCTGATATTAGTGTTAGTGGGTCTGATGCAAATTCAGATGATGAAACTGATTCTCGTGAGACTCCAGAACCTGCAGCACCTCCTCAAAGAAGTATAAATATGCTTCAGGGATGTAGAAGTGTTGATGAGTTTGAGAGGCTAAACAAGATAGATGAAGGCACTTATGGTGTTGTATATAGAGCTAAAGATAAGAAGACGGGGGAAATTGTAGCCTTGAAGAAGGTAAAGATGGAAAAGGAAAGAGAAGGTTTTCCGTTGACTTCTCTGAGGGAAATAAACATCCTTCTTTCTTTTCATCATCCATCAATTGTGGATGTTAAAGAAGTTGTGGTAGGGAGTAACTTGGATAGCATTTTTATGGTGATGGAATATATGGAACATGATCTAAAAGGACTGATGGAGGCAATGAAGCAACCATTCAGTCAGAGTGAAGTGAAATGCCTCATGCTCCAGCTATTGGAGGGTGTCAAGTATCTTCATGATAATTGGGTGCTTCATAGAGATTTGAAGACATCAAACCTGCTTTTGAATAATAGGGGTGAGTTGAAGATCTGTGACTTTGGTTTGGCCCGTCAATATGGGAGCCCCTTGAAACCGTATACTCATTTGGTTGTTACTCTTTGGTACAGGTGAGCTGCACTTGTCTGATTTCTCCTTCCATGCTTACATTATTTACATATGTGTAGTCATGTTTGTTTCATGTATTTTGATCTTCCTTATTCATCTCTTTTTGTTGTTTCAGTTACATATGTGGTTCAGCATGCACATATATACTGTTTGTTGGAGTGTGTCAGTCTGTTTGTTTGAACTCTTTTTCAGATGGTGATTTGTTGGTGTATTGTTAACATCTTGACCTTTGGCCAGATATTCTGACATGATGATCCCTCGTGTAATAATCGCATGGCACTTGTTAATTCATGGTGGTATTAAATGGCTGTGCTTATATATTTGATGTCATGTTTGCTGTCACAACTTTTGTTATTTGCTTAACTTGCAGTTCAATGAGAAGCAATTCTCTAACCCCTATTCAGCATTCCTTTTAGCCTCCTTTTTTCTGCATTATCATATATATGGTTTTCAGATGTTTAACTTGTTCTTTTTTATACAAACACACTTATATATTTACTCATATCTGCAGGGCACCGGAACTTCTATTGGGAGGAAAACAATATTCAACTGCAATTGACATGTGGTCATTGGGTTGTATAATGGCTGAAATGTTGTCTAAGGAGCCACTGTTCAATGGCAAAACTGAATTTGATCAACTTGACAAGGTAAATTATGTTCAATATATCAGGTGTAGGTAAACTATGGTCAATGTCTGTGTTGTTAAGTGGTCCTAATAATCATTTATGGGTTTTCTTATGGTTACAGATTTTCAGAATCCTTGGCACACCAAATGAGACAATTTGGCCTGGATTTTCAAAGCTGCCTGGTGTGAAGGTCAACTTTGTCAAGCATCAGTAAGTATCAATTTTTTTCTTATTTCTTTGTGACCAAGTTGACCATTAGGTCCATTACATTGTGGTGTTCTTATTCTTGCCACTGTTTTCCCAGGCTTCCAGCTTTGGGAGATTCTGATCTGGCTATCTGGCCTCCATTGGTGACATATTACTTGCACATCTTTTTTTCTTGTTTGTATTAATTGCTGACTTTTTCTTTCAGGTATAACCTGCTGCGTAAGAAATTCCCAGCAACATCTTTCACTGGATCACCAGTTCTATCTGATGCTGGGTTTGACTTGTTGAACAAACTCTTAACCTATGATCCTGAGAAGGTAAGCATCTGATTATCTGTGGCGTCTGGTTAATACTTTTTCTGGTTTGACTTTATACTTAAACCCATGGTACTTTGCAGCGAATAACAGCTGATGCTGCTCTTAATCATGATTGGTTCCGTGAAGTTCCTCTTCCTAAGTCCAAAGATTTTATGCCTACCTTTCCTGCTCAACATGCTCAAGACAGGTACGAGATTCCGAGGTTGAAATTTTTAGATTTTTCTAGCAATTTCTTTCTTTCCATATATAATTCAGTTTTTTTTTTTTTTATTTGGTTATTGTCAGGCGTATGCGAAGAGTTATGAAGAGTCCTGATCCTTTAGAAGAGCAGCGTAGAAAGGAGCTGCAACAAGGGGAGCTAGGGACAGGTGGTTTGTTTGGCTAATAGAATTGAATTAATTTGCCAACTGTGTCAAAGATCCCGTGCTTTAAGTTTTCAAAGTAGTTTGCAAATGCCCACAGTTGAGGTGAGGGACATGCATTCAACAGAAGTTGCGAACATTGCTTGTCAGACGATCATTCATGCTGTTTTTTAGCAGGCAACTGTGGTGATTTGGGTGGAGAATTATTTGCCTCCTACCTGTCAACAAGATTTCTTGCAGGTTAACTTTGTCCTCCGGCTCTGGGAATCATGTAGAAATGCATCTGTGACACTGCTTGCACGCAAGGTGTGGCATAACAGTTTTTCTTCTTTAAAATATCAGTTTCAGCTCGAACTTGTGTATGTAACATATTCTTATTGGTACATTGTAAACGATTATCTTGAAATATGGTTTTAAATTAGAAAATTATGGAATTTACTACCGACCATCATTTCTATCATTTTTAATATTCACATTGTGTTTGCAAGAGACGGTTGGTGTGAAGTGGAGGGAACGTTGTTAGCTTTTCATTGACGAACAAATTGACAGTAACCATTGTGCTTTGAAGGTAATTTATCAATTCATATCTGCAGAATGTTATGTGGGATAAGGACTTTGTTGTCTTCAGTGTGATCATTGTTGTGCTAGCATACTCTTGATATGCAGTGGTTTGTTTCAGTTGCTGTGCTATTTTTCTTTTTCTTTTGCCACACCCACTTGAAAAATTCTTGGCGTTCTGGAGAAGATGATTTATCATGTGCAGTGATCTTATGAGCAGGATTTGTAATGTCTGTGACCCGTTCTAAAATGCTGTTTAATGGAACAGTATTATATTTGACTAATAATGTCATGACCAAGAAATAAAAAAAGAGTAACTAGTAAACATTGACAAATTTATGTTACTGCCAAAGCTGATTACTGTAACTATTGAGCTCTTTTCTCTATATGGTTTTGACTGAGGTTTGTTTTGCTTGTAAATTCATTATTGGATGTGATTATCAAATAAAGAAGGCAGCTGTCCTATTAAGCCATTTTGTTTTTGGTGCTCCTCACCTTATCATGTCTAAACTTCTGCTTATACTTGTTATGAATCTCTAGTTGATATGATTTCAACTGATGATTTGAGAGAATTCAAGTTGCTCAAATAATAATAAACCATTTGCCTTAGTGAATAAATAATTTTTAGTTGATATGATTTCAACTGATGATTTGAGAGAATTCAAGTTACTCAAGTAATAATGAACCATTGGCGTTAGTGATTAAAGAATTTCCCGTTTGCAACTTCATGTCTAGTTGTATTTCAATAATTTGGTATATTTTAATTTCCAATGATTTCTCGTTTCTATGTTTCTCCACTTGTCTTTGGTTTCTTGGACTCTCATTTTGCACTTGCTTCATGGTACTGAGAAAACTTGACGCATTAATGTGTAAAGATCACATCGTTAATTCTACCCCTATGTATTCTTTTTCGCATTGATGGTGTGAGAAGATTCAGACTTTATTAGCTGCAGAAGTTTTTTTATGACATTGTCTGCAAATGTCACTGCAGTCTCAAAGCAAGCAGGTTGAGGAGGTTACCTGTATTCTCTGGATTTTATAGAACTTCCAATTAATTGTTCCTTCAGGCTCACTAGAGGTACCATATGAATTTGCTTTGTTGTTCATGTATTAGATCATATTATTGGTTTGCACCTATTTAATTTTCAATCTGATTTGGTATCAACTTTTTAATGAAATTGTTGGTCAATATTTCCAATAAAGAATTTTGTGAAAAGGCATTAAATTTACTAGATAGATGTAACAATAAAAAAAAATAAATAAAAAAGGTGATGATGGGGAGAAGATTTATTTGGATATACAGACTGATGTTTATGCCATGGTTCTTTTCTGATTCGTGTTCATTTATTGGTGTGGTTGCTGCTCTGTAGGTTGAAGCAGATCATATACCCTAGTTTTGCATTCTAAATATTGTCATTATTTTGGTGGTGTATGTGGATCATGTTATTATGTGATCGATGGTCTGTATTTCTAAAATAATGCCATGTCACTTGGAACACAAACTTGGGATGTATAGTACTACTAGTTGTATATTAAATATAGTAGTGGCAGATGCATTAAACTACATACATGTATTCAAAAGTATAATTTGAAAATAACTTCTAGATCTTTCATTATTTTATGTAGCCAGTAGTATGATTACGAAAGCCTCACTGGTAATTAGCTGATTATTAAACTGAGTTGTTGCTAAGTTGTATGGGGCTTGGAGTTGTACTATTTATGAAAAATTATGGATCTGCTTGCTCAGTATATCCATGTAGGCCCTTGCGAACAAGACCGTGGAGTTGCTTGGAGTGACAATTTTTAGGTAGGTATTGTATGGCTTGCATGTTTGCTGGCATACAATAGTAGTTAGCAGAGCTATATTTTTTGAGTATTACTTACAAGGTGAAATCATATATTATTTTAGTTGGTGACAGTACGGTTTTGAATGCGTCCTTTATTGCTTTTTGAGTCACTTTTGCTCATTTTTCTGATGTGATTTTATTTTAGGCATGGCTGGAAGAATGGGTTGCTTGGAGATGGAAAACCATGAAGCGTCCACTTCCCATTCACGAAATCCATGACCTGAGAGGTGATTAAGCGGCACTAAAACGAGTAACTTGTTATGTTGAATCAAACAGATATTGAGAGGTGCATGTTATCCCATGATCCCATCAACACAATCTTGATTCCCTACCCACTAGTTTATTCCAGAGAGAGATGGGCTTCTTTCTCTGAAACCCGTAAATTCATTCTGCCTCAATATAATTTTGGTTATCGTCCATTCCGGGGAAATTTGCAGATAGGGAGAGATGGAAATAATGTGGTCTATATTGAGGTGCCTAGTTATTGATGATTGATTGTTTGTTTGAACCATGTCGTCTCGTGCTCTGTTCATCGGAGTGATGTTATGTTGTGGTCCTTGTGGATCAAGGCAACTTGGTGTTCTAAATATACCCTTTTGTTAAAACTAAACGGCCCCTTTTGCACGAGTTTAATTAATGAATACTAAAGCCGAAGAAAGTAATTTTTAGGTATAAAGTTATTTTGTATAATATATACCAAAAGTCTACTTTTTACTCACAAAACGAGATTTTATGTTCATTACATCGGTGAAACGAATTATCTGGTTGCTTGAGTTTGTTCTTTAAACGCGTAAAAGAAGTGGTTTAGCTCATGGATGTCAAATCGTATATTGTATCGTATATCGAAAATTTAATTTTTTGAATCGTGTATCTTATCATAAGATAGGTTTTTTTCAAAAAAATTAATAAAATAATAAATTTTTTTTAAAAATTAATCATTTCCAAAATTAATTAAAGAATTTTGTGGTATTATTGATTTTAAATTATGGTATTATATAATCAAAATTAATCACAAAATTAAAAATCTATATTTTTTTTTTTCAACCATGCGTACCATTTTTAAGATCAATGTCAATATCTATATCTTTATTTGTATTATTATTATCATGCAAAATGGGTAACGCATGTTCCTCTTTGCTTTCTTTATGTAAAATAGGTAAATTTGAACAGGTTTTAGTAAACTGGGTTGGGTGACTCGGTTTCGACTTGAATTTTTTTTGAGCATTTGGCGTAAATTAATAAAGTCGTATCGATATTTTTAAGGATATGAACAGATACGTATCGTATAGTAGGATATATATCAATGTATCGAAAGGTTCGAGATATACTCTCTGATACATATCGTTGGTGACCTGTATCAAATCGTATCGTAAAATACTAATAAACTTAGCTACAATTACGTCTGATTGAAAACTGAGTTGGATGAATGTATAATTGCGTTTCATTTGCTTATATATATATACACACAGATTTTGTGAAAGTTGAAACCGAGTTGTTTACAACCCAAAAAAAGCCGAAACCGAGTTAGTGTCTATGATACGTACGGCATCAAGGCTACAACTTATTTATTCGCTACCTCCATCACCTGATCACCATATAAATATTCTTAGTTTACTGTTTTCGGCGGAGTATATAATATTTCACTAACACAGAAATTGTGCAATGCCATAAGCAAATTCCAAATGCCACGATATTCTTTTGTGAACACCAAATATGAACGGAGTATTAAAGGCAAAGAAAAATGCTACGGAAGTCAGCGATTTGCATCAAATTTTTACATCAAACGACGTGTCTACTGAATAAGAAGAACCACGTATCATATTAACAAATATTTTGCGAATGAACGACTGTCCATAAAATATAGACGGTCGTCCATTGTTATTGGACGGCCGTTTATTTAAAATGGACTCTCGTCCATATTATATGGATGGTCGTCCTTTACTATAGACAGTTGTCCATATTATATGGACGAATATCCATATAATTTTAGATGAAATATTTATTTTTAAAGTATAAAATTTTTAGATGAAATAGAAGAAAAAAAAAATTGATTTTAAGTAAAAGTATGGACGCTAGTCCACTCATTCACTGTTTTAAAAACCGGACCAGACCGGCCGGTCCAACCAGTTGGACTGGAAATCGGTCATGTGTCTGGTTCGAGTCAACATTAAACCCGTTAGTATATATTAAACGGCTTTAACCCGGTCAAAACCTGGATAAAGTCAATGAACCGTTGGATTGGCGGATAAACCGGTCTGATTTCAAAAACCCCTAACCCTACGCAATCGCACTATCGCAGCCCATTCCACTGATTTCCTTTCTCTGTTTCTCAACTTCTTTTCTTTCTCAGTTTCTCTACTAAAATTTCTCAGATTTCTCAACTTCTCTTCGAAAATTTCTCTCCGAAATCCCACTCAAATCGCAATCAACTCCACTCAAATTGCAATCAAATTGTAACTAAGATGGCTGCGACTTTGGCCGGAGAAGATCTAATGAGAACGATGAGCTGTCGCCCGACGATGCAGTCGAGGAGTTGGTGGAAGTGGATGGCATCTGCAAGTCTGGCGTCAGCGAGCATCCGGGGGGCGTGGAATTCACAAACAAATGTGTTTGCACAGAGCCAACGGCAGGATGATGAAGAGGAGTTGAGGTGGGCGGCAATCGAACGGTTGCCCACGTATGATCGATTGAGAAAGGGGATGCTGAGGCAGGTTCTTGAGAATGGGAAAATTGTTCACGATGAGGTGGATGTGACGAGATTCGCCATGGAAAATGAGTGGTTTAGAGTTAGTAAAACAATAAGATGTGGTCAACAAAGTTTGCTTTGGGAGTCAACAATAAGATTGGTTTGAATTTTATGAAGCCGGCGAGCATTAGATATGGTCAATTCATACCAATTTTTAATCCATTTTCTCTATTAATGACGTCATATTCTTATTTACATGAACCAAAACAAGTAAAGCCAACAAGCAAAAACGGCAACAACATCTATCACTTTGAAAATCATATGACATTAAGTATTATTACATTTTTAAAAACTATATATAAACTTTTTACTGGAACTTTATATTTTAACCTTAGTATCTATTTAAAAAAATAACAAGCTTTAACTTATGATTTCTATTTTTACTGAAATTACGTAGATGATGGTGATGGTTATGATGTGATGATGGTGAGATGGTGATGAATTTTGATGCTAGTGTGTGAAGCTCAACTAACATGAAAACGGATCAAAGAAAAAAACACTTGCATCAAATGTTTTGTATTAATTATTATGTATTTTGTCATTTAATATGTAAATACAATATCATATTTGGATTTGGACTTTGAATTGTTGTTAAATACTTAATTATGCTGGAATTATTGTTGAATTTGAACTTTGAAATGTTAGACAGTAATTAAGTTGTTATTGTCTAATTAACAAATAGAAATACGAAAAAAAAAAAGTTTTTTCAAAAATATACTAATGTCATCATGATGTGTGATAACGTCACGCGTCCAACCGGCAACTAACCAGTTGGATCGGTTGAACCGTGACCCGGCAGCAGAGGGGTTGCCCTCGGCGCCGTTTTTAAAACAATGCATCACTCATTTGGATGGTCGTCATAGTATGACGACCATCCAAATGAGTGGACTGAGTCCATCATCAATTTTTTTTTTTTTTCATTTATAAACAAAATGCAAAGCAAGAAAGAAATGAATGTAAATTTTTTGGATTGAGACAGAAATTGAATGTAAAATTTTTTAAATTAAAAATGGACAGGCGTCCATTTAAAAGGGACGCTTGTCAATTAAATGTAAAATTTTTTTAAATTTTTTGGAGACACTGGTCCAAATAAAATGGACAACTGTCTATTATTTTTCTGGTAAATTTTTTTGGAAATGGACATCCGTCCATATAATATGAATGGGAGCCCATAAATAATCATAACTCTGATTTCTGAAATTATTAAACGAGAAACTCTAGACTCCCAGGAAACGTAGCCATCACTGCATCAAAACTAGCAGCTGCATTCGCCTGCATTTTAAGGCCAAATGACATTACTTCGCTCAACGATAACATCATCTTGTTATCGTAAAATTTGTTCAATGTATGATATATACAAATAGCAACATCCACTCAACAGTTTTGAGATTAAATTGCTCGAGACGAGAGTGTGTAAGTAAACGTTGGTTGTGTATATAAAATTTTTGCCATAACTTTACAAAGTATCACTTTCTCACTTGTAACTTAATTGAAAACAGGGGACTTCTTTTTCTCTCTTTACTATCTCTCTCTCTGCTTTTCCTCTCTTCTCCTCTATCTGGGCAATTTCTAACATTTATACTGATATCTCTCCATACTTGAGAAAGCTTTCTGTGATTGCCCATGGGCATGTCCGCGCATAGGTGGTGATGGTTTCACCTTTTAAAACCTGAACAAACATTGATTTCCTGGAGATGTGATGTATTGAGAGCAGCCTTGACAGGGTGATTAACTAGTACCAGAAATGATGGTCTTTCCTAGTACAAATGTAACAAGAGAGAGTTCAATGAAGAAGATTGTTGTGATAAGAGCCCTATCAACTGTCCATCCAAATATGGTAATGCCCCCGGGGTTTGTCTGCAAATACAGTACTGCACAACCAGGAGATGTTACAAAACGTGAGTCACCACTACATGCTTAACACAAGTACAGAGACAGAAAAATGTAGAAAACAGTTGAGTAAGATTCACTCTTAAATTCAATATAAGTGAACAAATAGATCAGTCAGCGGTCAGCGGAACAACACAGAGATTTTTTACAAGTTACATGCTAAGACCTGAAAGAATGCTTTGTTTGTCCTAGTTTGGTATGGTCTATATATATGTGGAAAATAAAACAATTTTAGCACATAAGTGTGATATTGATGGTAAAATAGATATCCTAAAACGTCCTAGTAGTATGCATTATAAGTGACTGACTAAAACAGTTTTAACTGTTTATATATTGTGAAAATCCGTGACTTGCAGTTCCCTTACTAAGTTTTGGATATTCTTATTTTAATTAACTTACCCTTGCAATTAGGACCAAAACCTAGAGTATCCTGACGAAATACGTAAAATGTCTCTCAACAAGAACTACTGTGTTTGCTTAATTGCCTAACCCACTATCAAGATGAGAGGCAAATAACATACTGTTATAGAACACTTAAACATACTACCTGGTCTCGCCCCACTGGCCCATGGGTCATATGTATCCCTTCCTTGTGTTTGTTAAATGAAAACAGTGAAACCTATAGTCTATTGCAGGGCAAAAGTTACAAAGAAAAACAGCAAATTTATATCAATCCTCGTGCTCAAAAGCTGCAGATACAGATCAGCAGTAGTGGAAAGTTCACCTGATCTATTTGCTGCTAATATAACAGTAGAGTAATTGAGTCTATTTATTTCTCCCAATAATTTATAAATAAAAAGGCATCTGTAATCTACTCACATCACCCTTATGACTGATAGAAATATATTTTTGTCAATTAACAGAATATAGAGGGCGCAAAATAGAGAAACAAGATTTGAATTCCGTACCAAAGGCTTGTCTTCTGTGATATGAGGACATATACGAAGCCAGTTGAGCACTTGTTGGCATTGAAAGATAATCTAAAGACTCCAAATCACTTTCAGAATAATTCATATGCAATGAGTTCAATGCACCAGAGGCTTCCAAGCTCCCCCCACTGCTTGATGCTCTCAGTTGAGATGCATCAGTAGAGCTGCATGTTGCCACTGCATGCCATCTACTTGCCAGTGATGCGATGTTTTGGGCCCTATGAGAAATTTTTGTCGCTGCATGTAAGCAAATAATTATGCCTACAACCTGAACGACTGAGGACACCTGGAAATGTCAAGAAAAGAAGGCAACGAGATTAAAGTTAGAAAGTATGGAGCAGCTAGGATCTATGCAAGCATGGACAAGAAGAAATTTTCTTAGTTACTTTCATTACATAAGGAGATTGTAAATATTATTTAAGTTATGTGATTTTCCCATCAGTAGAGATTTAGAAAGCTTATGTCCACTCAAGAGCTTGGAATGTGAAACCACTAAGTTCCACATACATTTTATTCAGCAATATATTAAAAAAACAAGGGTGCTGAACTTACTGCAAAATCACCACCATTTATGAAAGTAATTATGCCACTGTATGCTGTAGTCTGGAAAAGAGTCACAAATAGGCTTGCTGTGACAAACAGGAACTCTAAAAGAAGATAAATACGGAATCTGTGGCTTATCTTAGAAAGATAATACCGTAGACGCATGTGCTCCTCTATTAATACTAAAACGTCAGATTCGTGTTCCATGAGCTTTGCATAATCTTCAAAGTGCATAACTTGCAAATTGCAGACTAGGTGAAACAAAATGCTGGCTGATAGAGATATCGTACTCAAATAAGTCCAGGATACAATCAAAGCTAAACAAATTGCAGTAGACAGCCACCATGATTCATGATGTACATATAAGATGCGGACGACCTCACGAACAGTCTTCAGAATGAAACATGGCAATGACCAAAATACAAGCAAGCGTATAGAACCCTGTAAAAATAGATTATCCAAACCAATTCCTTCATTACAATAAAGATTAGATATCATGAGTTAAACTAATTCTTCTATATACTTGTGACAAATTTAATTTAAATCCTTGAGGGTATTGCAATTGCCGGAAGAGTAAGTGAACAACATATTAAACAATTAAACAAAACATTTTGAATAGAATGCATTATGACACCTGTCAATCACTTAACGAGAGCAAGTCTTATTATGCACTCGAACACATTCTGGTCAAGCATTTGAGGTTGGTTGTCAATTAAGCCTCAATTGCAAACCAGTATGGGTCAGTGCAAGCATCCTCTTCCTCCATTCCACATATCCAGGCCATTATTTTGCAATTTTGTAAACAATAGATTTCAATTTTAGGGCAGGTTTTTGAATCTTGACAAGTTAATTTTCTGGTGGCTGAAAACTCAATAAAAGGGTGTATAAAACTAAGAACAAGATATGCAAATTTGAATGAAATTGGTTCTGGGACCAGGTTGAGACCTTCTATTTATAGAAACATTGAAATTCTGGTAATTTCATAGATTCTTATCTATGAACATTCGTTTCTATAAATTGGATTTAAAAGTTAATCTCTAGTTACAATTCAAATTCTAATATCATAAACCTAGAATCTAAAAATTTGATATTATTGAAATTTAAAGAAACTCATTTCTATTTTGAACAAATCAGAATAAGTTGCAATAGTAATCAATAAATCATCGAACTTCTCGAAATGATCACCGGAGACAATAAATCCATGAAAAGTATGAAGTAATGGTTACCCTTATCTGCTGAATGTAGTGTTTGCTAAAGCGGGCCATTTGGCCACTGTAACGATCAACAAAAAGAAACCTTCTGATACCATGTTTACGAAGATTATGGGAAAGACAAAGCAAAGAAACAGCCGCAACACACGCCTGAGATGCCACAATAACCAGCTCAAAATCCTTAATTTGACCCTTCTCACACCCAGGACAATTGGAGAGTTCAAGTATCACAACTGGGAGCAACACTCCAATCAGTAGAAAAGCAGACCAAGACAAGACAAAACCCAGAACTGAAGACTGGTTGAAACCAAGAATAGACAGAAAATTTTCAAGCCTTTTAAGCGTCCTGTCAAGATCGGTTTCTTGGTGCTGGTTACGGTTTTCGTTTGGGTGTTGTTGATGTTGATGATTATTTTGAGTGTGGTTTGTGTTTGAATTGAGAAGAGGTATTTGGGCGGGAGGTGGGTCTGTTTGTTGTACGTTTATGTGAGGATCAGCCATGAATTTACTACCAGAAGTAGAAGTGATGTTTCAGATTTTACTTTTTATCAAGAAAAAAAAAACAGCTGTCAATATTGTTCGATTAATGGGTTTTCAGATTAGACAAAGACTTGAAATTGAGATTTTCTCAAAGAAAGAAAATGTTTGAATTGAATTGAAGAGAGACAAAGACAAGTGGTGTTCAATCATAGATCCAGCTACCATTGATTGCCCTCCTCTTCATTAGCCCATTTCTTGTACTAGAATCAAACCCAGATTGATTATTTGATCTACCCGGCACAATTTATTCATTATTTTATTCCATATTCAATTATTAATTAAATAAAATGAAACTCTTTACGATTAATTAAAATTTTCATACGTCCATCTGTTTCTGAAAAGTAAGAAGCAAAAGCTGTGTGAAGATAGGTTCGAAGTTATATGAAGATACTGATTGGTAGGGTACATGGAATATGATAGAATGGCAGGTACAGGATAAAGGTTGTAGATTTTGCTGAATTTTGATCGAAAAGCTCTCCCCTGGGAAACTGGAATAATTCTTTTCTTTGTTTTGGGTCTTTGTTTTTTGTCTTTTTTTTTTCTTTAATCAGACAGAAGAGTTACCAAGTGGTCGTATTCTATGGCGTGAAGCCATTCACGTTTTACTCTTGGAATGGGAGTTTTTTTTAATTTAAAGTATTAATCAAAATTTAAAGTAATCACGTTGATCAAGTCTTTCTCAATCAAATCTACAACCAAAATCTAACTGTAGGAGTAATTTCCAATGGACAGTTGAATGTTTGGGCTTATGATTTGCTATTGACCCATAATGTCTGTCTTTGGGCTTAACTGAGTCTCTTTCATCAGCTTTGATTGAGCCTTGTTTAACTAACTACTAATCTTGGGTATTTTTATTTAGTCTTGTCATTTTATTTCATTTTTAATACTATATGTACAAACTAATTTATATATCAAAATGTATTATCATATATAAATTAAAATAAATGATATATCCATAGGATTAGTCAGTACGTTAGGATATTGCATTTGTTTTATCTGAAAAAAGATGTATGTTTCTCCTCTACTTTTTCCTAACAATTTTCGAAAAAAATATTTTCTTTCATAATTATTTTTAAGATAAATTAAGTCCCTTCTAGATACCGATATAACAATAAGCCTCCTCTGGTTTTGGATATTGTTATAAAACCCCTTCTTTGTTAAAGTCTATGTAATCTGACTTTGACAATGGTTTGAGAGGGAAATGAGGATTTCGATGGAGAGTGGTAGTGGAAGAGGAAAAAGATAAATGGCAATTGAGAGTGGCGATGCGGTTGGAAGCCATAGTGGAAGAGGATAGACGGCGATGGTGTGGTCGATATTGGCGGGGGTGGTTCGAATTTGTTATTTGAAAGAGAAATGAAAATTTCTAATCGAATAATATTATATTGAAAAACCTTTTTTATTAACTTTTTCTAATAAAAACAATGTGTCAATTGATAATGGATCATACTTAATTAAATATAAATTGATTAATTATAATAGATTATTACTTAATTAAATACAAACTGATTAATTATGAACTATTATGTCGCATTTTAATTGTACGGATTCTTTCTAAATCTCATTTTACGTGAATTCAACATTTCAAATCAAATAGTTCTCGCCAAATCAAACTCTCCGCTCATCTCATCTATTGCATGTAACGGTCTCTATGCCCTTCATTTTCACAACAATTTTCACCAAAACCTCTCCCATCAATAATGGCTAACCAACAGTTCGATCCTCGAAGTGGCTTTTGCTCCCAAACCAACATCTACCACAGCCCCCGCCCCTCTGTTCCTCTCCCTCCTCTAACCACCCCTCTCTCCATCACTTCCTACCTCTTCTCTATCCTTAATTCCCACCCTCCGCCGCCGCACACCGCCGCCCTCATCGACGCCCTCACCCGCCGCCGCATTCTCTACTCTGACTTCATCCTTCGCATCAAAACCCTCGCTTTCTCCCTCAAAACCAAGTTTAACCTCTCCAAGAACGACACAGCTTTTGTTCTTTCCCAAAATTCAATCCACGTACCCATTCTTTACTTTTCTCTCTTCTTAATTGGTGTCACCGTCTCTCCTTCAAATCCCGCCAATACGAAACCGGAGATTCTCCGCCAAATTCAGCTCTCAAAACCGGTCATTGCGTTTGCCACGTCAGAGGCTGCTGATGTAATCCCCTCGCTTAAATGCGGCACTATTCTTCTTGACTCGCTTGAGTTTGAATCTTTCATGACGAGCCAATTGGATGAACGGGATTTGGATTCTGAGCTGGACCGGGTAAGTGTTTCGCAGTTGGATCCGGCGGCGATTTTGTACTCTTCAGGGACGACGGGGATGATCAAAGGGGTGGTCTTGACTCAACGGAACTGGATATCTTCATTGGCGGGAGCTCTTGCGGTTCGTTCAGTGAGGGAGACTCCCGCTGTTGCGTTGTGTGCGGTTCCGTATTTCCATGTCTACGGGTTCCGGTACTGTGTGACGGCGTTGGCGTTGGGGCAGAGTTTGGTGTGCATGGGAAGGTTTTATTTTGGGGTTTTCTTGAGAGCTATCGAGGAGTTGAGAGTCAACCACGTGGCCTTGGCTCCACCCATCGTTTTTATGATGGCTCAAGATGGTGGTTCGATGAACGGTTACGATTTAAGCAAGCTTGAAAGTTTGGCCTGTGGTGGAGCCCCTTTGGCGTTGAGCATTATTAAAAAATTAAAGCAACGTTTACCTCAAGTGCAACTAGCTCAGGTTAGTAAATTGAGTTTTAACAGTTTGGCATATTCAGAGTGGAGTCTAGTTATTGTTGATGGTGTTAACTTATTATTAAAGACGAATTGGTTTTAATGGTATGAAGGGATATGGGCTGACTGAATCAACCGGCCGAGTTTTTGGAACGGAGGGTCCAAAAGAATGCCAGGTAGTCGGAGCTACAGGAAAACTTGCACCAAATTGTGAAGCTAAAATTGTTGACCCCGATACGGGCATTGCGCAGCCTCCTGGAAGACCTGGAGAGCTTTGGATCAGGGGATCATTCACTATGAAGGGTATAATTGTTTGTCTGTTTGTTTATCATTTGAGGATTGTTCTTGTCATATATGTTTGTATTTACTTGCAGTTGCGTGGATTTTGTTAACGTTTTACAGGTTATGTTGGTGATGAAGAAGCAACTGCTAATGTTCTGGATTCGGCGGGGTGGTTAAGAACTGGAGACCTTTGTTACATAGACAATGAGGGATTTCTTTTTTACCTGGACAGGATAAAAGAATTGATCAAATACAAAGGATACCAGGTTGGACTTGAGGTCTTTCGTTGCAGTCTCAAATTCACTTAATTTTCTAGTTTGAATAATCAATTCTGCAAATGAGGTGCATATTTCCACATTGTATTAGGTTGCCCCAGCAGAACTGGAGCATCTACTCCAATCTCATCCGGATATAGTCGATGCAGCTGTGATTCCGTATATCATTTGATTCATTTCTACTTTATGGTTCTATGTGAAGGGGGTAAACGATGAATCTTGTTTAATCGAACAAATTATGTGTAACAAGCATCATATCTATGGCAGGTACCCAGATGAGCTAACAGGTCAAGTACCAATGGCTTTTGTGGTGAGAAAATGTGGAAGAATCATTGGTGAATCAAAGATCATGGATTTCATTAACAAACAGGTGTGCTGCTTTATGAATAATAGAATATGCAATTTTGACTGATCTAAACCGTTTTTCCCCCTCATCTCTTGGAAATTCTGTCTGTAGGTTGCTCCATACAAGAGAATACGACAGGTGAATTTCATTAATTCCCTTCCCAGGAATGCGTCAGGTAAAGTGTTGAGGAAGGAATTAATCAAACTTGCACAATCAAGTACTATTTCCAAGCTGTAAATTTTTTGGAAATGCTGCATTCAATGAATGCAAATAAATGAAAATTCACACATGTTATCGTCATTTATTATTATCTTCCCAGAAGTTCGGCCAGATAAGGATTGTGGGCGAAAACCCAACACTGATTAGAAAGCTGACCTGTGCAGTGACCCGGCCACGCCATGGGGTCTCAGGTCGAGCAGTTTAACCGGTGTCCAAAGGTTTGAAATCCAATAAAAATACCCTTAAAAATTACATATAAGTCCCTATATATTTGCAATCTTGCAAAACATCCTAAACACCGCCATCGGTGTGGACATCTCACTCCTCCCTCGTTAGCCTCCCCAATCTCTGGTAACAACGGGTTTTTTCTGGTAACTTATTTTTACGATTTTCGATCGATTCACTCACCGAAAATCACCTTCGTCACCATCATTTCACTCACCGACCATTCCTTTTAAAAAATCTTAACATTCCAGCCTTTAATTGTTTATGGATTGATGTTCTACTTTTTAGGTTTTTGAATGAATAGGAACATTTGTAACCCGAGGCGGTTGAACCAGTTCAATCGGTCAGGCCAGGCTGGGTTCCTAATCACTGCGATCCAATAACCAAAATAACCACTGATTATGACTGGAAAGAAAGTGTTAAAAATAAAAAAAAAATAAAAACATCAGCTGCTAGATGTAGTTTGTATTTTTTTTTTCAAAGGTAAGGTCAGACTCAGAGCCAATTTACATAATTGTAATTTTCATATTCTGTTACATCTCACCTACAAATTACAGAGCTTTTTATTCTCTAATTTTGGGGGTTACAATAGGTCCAAAACATTTACTGAAGATGATTACAAATGCACAAGTTTAACAAAAGAAAATGGTGTACACTGCCACTTGTAACCAGAAACAAGAAAAAAGATATTAAGGCCTCAGTTCAGCTAAATCCTTCAGATGGAAATACTGTTGGGGATTCCTCGACCGGTTACTCCTGGACCTGACGAACGAAGAAGCAGTTCATAAGGGGGAATGCCTGCACCACATCTGCTTTTAAGATGATTATTCTTGTTTCTATCATTTATTATCTTCTCAATCTCCTCTAGCTTCGCAGAGAATTTATTAAACATGTTCCGAACTTCATTGTCATTGATCCAATGACCGTGCAGTTTGCTCATCTGACCCAGGTACTCTTCATCCGCAGAGTGAGTGGACAAGGTGTCTTGAACAGCCATCACCTTAGTGGCTTGAAGTTGAGTCGGCAAAGAAGACAGAAACGTTTGCTGAGGGTTTGAAATAAATTTCTCATAACGAGGCTCGTTTTCTTGTGGGATGAGTCTTCTCATCAGAGTCGGACGGTTAGGGACATATCCTCCGAAGGGATACTGCCCAAAGTTTATGGCCGCGTGCTGACCAGAAGCAATCCAGATCATTATTGTAACTATCTTGGACAAGTCCTCTTTGGTGTTGAGTGTTGGCCACCAGGGTTCATTCCTTTTGTCATAGTGCCCTCTGTTCTTAATCTCATTCCACCATGCTTGGAGCTCAACATCAGATGTGACAGAATTAGGCTCCGAATAGAAGTGTTCGACATAGGATTTTACCCACTCTTCTATAGCAGACCAGACAAGAAGTCCATCCGATGCATAAGGGTAGTCTTCAATTACAAGTTTTACACCACAGGGCATTGAAGGATCCTCCACAGCCATACCCCTGAAAATTTTCATCAGCAGGTGATTACAATCTTTAGTTTTAAGAAATTGGAAGAGTAAAATGCAAAGAATTATGGATTTTAATGCATCAGAAGCTAACCGTCGAATGAGATCTGCAGGCAATGCCTCCATATCGAACCTCCACATACTCTTGTAGGCTGCAGAGCTTATTTCCATGGCATATTTTCCTGGACCGAAAGAAGCCTCAATTATTCCTCCTCCATTTATTAAACTTTGCCGTGCAAGCGCGTTAATTTCTAGCGTGTAGCGCATATGAGGATGAAGCAACTTGTAAATAGGGTGCATTGAGCTAAGATGTCTGTGTGTTGCAATTATGTAAGGTTCCATAGAAGCATGAGTTCTCAACCTGTGAAATCCAGATATGGTATTAGTCTTAAGTAATGTTCATGGTTTTAGAATCAATTCAGATTAGTTATACATTGAAAAAAAATTTACAGCAAGGATTAAGCTTAATCAATAAGGCAACATTAAAAAATTTGCTGTAATTAAATCAGTAATTATTTACCAGTGATTTACTAGTTGATGGACTCCTGCATCGACTGAGCAAACGTGAGCTTTTGCAAGCTTCCAAATCCAATACGATGTAGCATCATGTCCATGAGTGTAAACACGTTTATTCCAAGGCGATGAAGGTGTTGGAGGAAGTGAAAGTTCGATAGCTATTGGCTTCAGAACACCCTTCTTGGTATAGAAAAAAATTGTCCTAGAGGCATAAGCTTTTCTCTCTGGCAAAGAATTTATTTTGTTGATAAATGGCAAAAGCATGTCATGGTAATCAAGAATGAACAATCTCTTCTCCTCAATAGCCTGTATCACCAAATATTTGAGAGTTAGTTCAATTGTTATAATGAACTTGAAGAGCAGCAATCAAACATTGGTGCAATAGATGGCTGTTCTGTTTTAGCTTTAAGTTGTTCCATTGACTTAACATACAAATTGTAAGGCGTCCATGAAATTAAGCATCGGATCAAAAAGGGGCATGAATTCATTTACATAACAAACATGATATCAATACCTTTTCAACACTCATTCCACTAAGTTCTTCCTCTATCAGTTCCTTTGTGATTGCTGATTCCGGAGGTCCATAAACAGCAGGATCCAGTTTACTGAGAATTGGAAATTCCTGTAATAGAACATCACTTGAAACTTTCCAGGACATAATTTAAGCATAATATACAAAGAAACAGATAGAAATGGTCATAAATATTACCTTCAAAATCTCAATGTTCACTGGGTTAACCCCAGCCAAAGTTTGGCGAGCAAACTCATTGTCTCTCAGCCATGCAAACCTGTCACCTGGACAAAGTAAAAAAAAAAAAAAGGTTCAGAAATGATTAGGATTTCCTTAAGTGCCTCTAGAAATGATTGAAAAGTAGATGTGGTCAGAGATTTTAATGTACCGCTCTATAGTCTATAGAGAAAGATAAGTGCGTGGACAACTTACTTTTTATAACAGCTGGGATTTCATATTTCAATAACTTTTGGCCAGCACTGAGAACCAGTTTCATCACATTTAATGGATTCTCCTTTGTGTCTTGTTCATCATCTTTTAGAAAGAAACCATTGTTATATAACTTATCAATATCAGAAAAGCAAGTGAAGGGGATGTCCGAACTTGACAATGTAGCCGCAATTGATGGTATAAGATTATGAAGCACAGCCTTCAACCTTCCAGCAGAAAAAGTGTTCTGTTTGATCTCCTCGAAAGTTTCATCTCGAGGTACATACACAGGATGGGGCTTTTCGATTCTACTCTCAGAACGAGGATCTAAGAAATTCATGAAAAATACCCAATGAATTGGTAGTTCAACATGAAGAAATTGCAAAATAATAATAATAATACTATTCAGAACAGAATACCTTTCTTGGATGGCGGTCGGCCAGTTCTACAACGCCTAGGATAAGGCCATTCCTCATTGCCCAGGACAGGTCTAGCAAGATCTTGATCTTTATCAGGATTTCCCAAATCATTATACACATCATAATCATAAATTCTATCATGAACCTTTCTCTTTCCTTTTCCATTACCACGAATGCTCAATAAATCTTCACGTCTTAGATCTCTGATACCAGCTGGTGTTTGTGATGGTAGATATGCCTGTTTATTCACAGTCATAATGTACACATTCAAAGCCATTCATCAAACTTTAGTGGATACAAACAAAGGGAAAACGACAAATAGTAATATTGCTTGGTAGTTCTCACTTGATTTCTGAAGATTATTCTACTTTCAGGATTATCATTCCGGGAATGGATCCATGTGTTTGCTGGGAAGAAGATGGGGCCTCCATCAAAACCGTGAACAGTAATCTCCAACAAGTAAAACTCCTTGCCATGAAGATTTGTGATGAGAACAGCCCCAGGATTACCAAAATCAGATGGCACACTGAAATCAGCTCCATATTCAACAATGTTAAAATCACTTGATGGCTTCGGCAACCACCCCCTCACTGAAGATTCCACACTCTTCCCTGAGCTCGTAACTGCAAGAACAACAAGACAAGTTCATTGATTATGTAAACAAAAAAAAAACCTTTAAGCAACAACAAACGTGATCCACTCAAGAACTAATTTTAGACCGTTATATTTTCTCATATAACCGTTAAATTCAGGGGTAAACAAATACAAGCTATTAAGACTTGAAAAGAAAAAAAAAATAAAGCTACGAAGAGAAAGTAATGGATTAACCAGGATCAATCTCTTCACTTATAAGCTGAATCATGATGCCTTGACCAATCCCATTAATGAAATACTCCCACTGATCTTCTATCTTATCAACGAGCTTTTCTTTCATCTTCTTCCTTATAGTGATCACTGCTCTCACGTCAACCATCCCTTCTTTTTCAGTAGGAGGAGAAACTAACAAGGAACCATTAACGTCCTTTCTCTCCACTGACTTTTCAGCAGTTTCTGTAGCTTTGTTCTGGTCACTATTCACTACGGCCCGAATCGGCCAGAACGTCGAACGGGCCACACCGGTCAGCCGGGGAACCCCGTTTTTTCCGGCTCTGGAGATGGCCGGAGCTCGCCGGAAAGCAGGGCCAGTCAAGAGCTGTACTTTGAAAGCTGAAGACATTGGCTTTACTGCATACATCCTCTGCTGGTCTCTTCAAGTCAATGCTAAAATGAAGAGAAAAAGGTGATCTACTTTTGGCCTAAGACGAAACGGTACCGTTTTTTTTATTTAGTATCTTAATCCAAGCGTTGGAAGCTGATAGAGAAACCTGGAGACAAAGACAAGTACTATATTTATATAATTATTAGTGGTAGCTGACAAGAGAACACCAGTCAATATAAAGAGCGTGAAAGGCACGAACCAATGAGATGGAACTGAAGTTAGCTATGGTAGATG